ATTATATATATGTAATGTATGAAAATATATGAAAATGCATGTGGGTACTCAAATGAAAGCTCTTGATGAGTGTAACATCGGGATGAGCTTATATCTTTAAAAACATCAATAGTTAAAAAAGTACAGTGTAATTTAACAAGTTATTATTTAACAAAGCAAAATTTTATTTATTAATAGTTCACAAGTCACGGCAGTCACATAGTGACTGCAAGGTTTTTAGTTTTACTTATTTCAATAATGTTTTTTTGATTAAAGATCTTGACTAAAAATAATTTTCTCAATGAATTTTTCTCTTGAGTCAATTTAATTTTTTATCCAATGCAATATTGTACGCAACAACCATTGATATAATTGATGAGAGGAATACAAATTCCCCATTGGCGATTACCGGTAGGCTATAATGCGCAACGGCGTTTCGGTTCACTTGCACTATTAGGGAAGTAATCTGAGGCATAATACCTCAAGTGAACCTCACTAATCACTAATCCATTGATTCCATTGATTTTACTAAGCACGAAGCGTACTGTTGTACCCCGTATTTGGGATTTGTACCGATTATTAATTTCGAAATAGAGTCAATTAGTTAATAGTTGCCAATTGTTGAAACAACAATGCTACTGTTGCATAAAAAACACTTTAAGTAACTTTGAAGGATAAGAATTTCAAAACTCTTATGTGACTCCAGTGAGAAAAAGTTTATCCAGACTTTTTTTCAGCAAAACATACTTGCGATATAAAAATGATCTTGTAGTATTGGAAAAAAAATTTTTTTATTTTCAAATATTTCTTTATGCAGATTCGCAAATATTGAAGTTTTTTCTATGCAAAACTAAAGTGGGGACAAATAATAAAATGGAATATAAATCTATCTGTGTAATGTCCGTGCATTAATTTCTTTGGAATAATTTTAGTCGAAGCAGAAACGATTGATTGATCAGTTATTTTAGTTTGTTCGGGCGATTTTATATTTTTGTTTAAATTATTCAAGAGTATAAAAATTATTAAAATATTTTTTTACTAAATAAGCTTTATTTTATATTTAAAATAAGAATTTCTTGTATACTTATAAAAAAATTTAATTGATTTAAAATATTTAAAAAATAAAACTTTCAATTATTTTAAAATAAAGGACCGAACAATTATTTTTAAAAAAATTTTTCATATTTTTCAAGCCACAAAATAAATCGAAAAAAATTATTTTTAAAGCCGACATATAATAGGTAAATTTTAAAATAAATTTATAAAATTAAAATTTTTATATTTTCCGAGTGAAAAATTAATTTAAGAAAATTAAAATTTTTTTTTAGAAATAAAATAAATTTTTAAGACTTTTATTTTATTTTTAAAAATATTAAACATTATGTTAATATCTCCTCAAAATTGCTACTTAAGAATTTGTTAAAAAAAATTTGAACAGAAAATAATTTACAAGACTTTTATCGTCTAAAATCAAGCAGAAAAATTTTGAAAAAAAATTCCAGAAAATATTTTTTGTTCAAAATTTCATCTTTTGAATCAAATTAATTTTTTTTTATTGGAGTAAAAATATATTAAAAATGACGTGATAATTATCCTTTAACAAACTTTATTAAAAAGAACCTTAAATTATAAAACAATTTTTCTATATATTTGTTTACACACAGTGTAAAGTTATTGTATAAACTTTGATAATAAATAATTCAGCATAAAACGACCGTCAGATTGTTCTTTAATAATCCAAGTGGTAAAAAACTTTTAAAATAGTTCTCGAGGCATTGTTAGAAAGCCTTTCAATCCCGAACTATTAAAAAGCGAAATCAATAATGGGCTTTTAAGAATTTTAATTAAATATCGACATTTTTTGTTATCTAGAGTAAATAAAATATCGTACTGTCCGATATACAAAGCCGGGAGTACGACGTGGCTCCACAATATGTGTCTGCTAATGAATATATCTGAATCAGTATTGACTAATGGAAAAGAACAAATGTCTTCAATTGCCCGCAAAGTAATGCCAGATCTAGATTTTCCAGAGGCTGAAAAAGTTATTAAATTTTTTATTTCTTCAACCTTTTTATACTTTATTTTACATCACCCACAATTTCACCCACAATTTTTCTATTGATATTTATATTTACATTCGTACATTTCCGTACACTCGATTTGTTTTGCGCCATACACCTTTTTTAGCACACATAAAACAAATATAAACATAAATACAATATAAATAAAATATGCGGTTATAACTGCAGGCGATGCTGGCCACGACAAAAGTTCTTATAGTGAGACATCCATTTGAAAGATTGTTGAGCGCTTATCGTGATAAACTTGAGAACTCTGTAGCCCGAAGGGATCACGGTACTCTTTATTTTTATCGCAAATATGGGCGCACTATTGTCGACAAATATCGAGGTACTTTATTTATGTTTTATTTTATTTTATAAATTAGTAAATTATTAGCAACTTGCAGTCGCGTGGCGATTGCAGAAATTTCCAATTTATGAATAACAAAATTTTGTCTTAATGATTTTTTTATATTTATAATTACACTATAGATAGATTGGGTGCTTTTTGAATAAATTTTAAAAATAATAGAGCTATCACTTACAAATGATTTAATTTAAAAAACTCCTCCAAAAAATTAATATAAAAAATTTGACTATCGCTGAAAAATATATAAAACCGTGAAAAGGTACTAATTCTTGTCTCGACCTTCCGCTAAGAAAATTAAAAATTTTCCAAAATTGGGATTATATGGGTTTTACCACGTTTTTTGAAAATAGAGTTTTAATCAGATCTATATTCAGCTATACTCAGCTCAAAAAAATTTTTAACGATTAGTTAATAATTTCTTACTTATAATGAGGTATTTTTTATTCTATATAAACATATTCTGAATTTTAACTATAATTTTACGCAACAAAAAAGAAGGAAATTTATAAAAAATATGAAAATTTTAGTAGGCAAAAAAATTTTTATTTCATATGCTTTTCAATTATTGGACTGTCCAAAATGATAAAAAATTAAATTTACTACTATCCAAAATGTTGACTTTTTCACAAACTTTCTCCGGACAATTTTGAAGACTGTTAGTTCAAATTATGAAAAATCCTGATTTTTTTTTATACGCCTTTTTGGCGTTAGTACGTCAAAAATTTTATTTCTCCAGATCTTTACGGTTTGAATAATTCTAAAAAGAATGGCAAAAAATTTTTTTTATACGCCCTTTTGGCATGGAAGCTTGTCTAACTGCTGTAATACGCCTTTTTGGCATTTGACACGCGATATAACCGTTAAAAAATTTTTCTTAGTCTCTTAATTATATAAATTAATTTCTGACATATAACCGCATTCACGTGTACAAAACAAAATAAATAAATAAACAAATTTTGTTTATCGCAAAATTTGAATCTATTTAAAACAACTTCGAAAACTTATAATAAATAAATAAAAGAGACAAAATTTTCCTTATTCTCTTAATAATACACTGAAAAAAAAATTAACTTGAATCAAGAGAATAATTCTTGAGCTAAAAAAATAATTTTGAAGAGTTTTATTGTTTTAAATCAAGACGAAAAATTCTTCAAACAAATAAAACTTACTTAGATTAAAAAAAAGTTCTTAGTTTAAGAATTTTTTTACTCAAATCAACAAGATGAAGTTCTTGATTTAAGTAAATTTTTTTTTTTTCCGCGTATATATAAATACAAATGACTAAATATAATTATTTCATGTCTACAGACAAAACTTTTACCCCGCCACCAAAGGATCAATTTATTTCAAACGATAACGAGCCAAAACCTGCGGGCATTGAACCAACGTGGAAAGAATTCGTAAATTATTTAATAGATACCGATCTAGAAATCTATTCCGACGACCATTGGATCCCTTACTACCTGTACTGCACTCCCTGTTCGCTCAACTACACCTATATCTTAAAAGTAAGTAAAAATTTAATTGAATTACATAAATCTCAGAGAAAGCAACCACAAATAATAATATCAATAAAATTTACCATAATAAAATAACATTTATCTGTTTATATTAATAAGGTGGAGACTTTAGATTTAGACCAGTCATTAATAATTGAAAAATTGAATCTAAAAAATAAAATCCATCCGATTCATCGTCATAAAGGATCCCAAGATAAATTAAACCCATCTAAAATTTATTTCCGTCAGTTGACACAACAACAAATATCCGAACTTTACAATAAGTACAAACTTGACTTTGAAATGTTTGATTACTCCGCTGAGATTTATTATTCATACGCTTCAGACTTTTTCCAATATACCGACTACTAGTCTCAGCGTTCTTGCGATAGTAAAACATCCAAAAGTATGTATTATATATTTTTCAATAAATAAATAAATAAAAAAAAAAAATTTTATCGAGATTCATTTATTTATTTATTTAAAAATAACATTGATTCGCAAAAGGGGATTTAAATAAATGGAGTTTAAATAACGTCGCAGAACCGTTCACAAACTTTCTGGCGCATGAATCGATCGACCCACTTTTAGGCCACGGGCTTTATATCAAAGGGATTTTGAACGGAACTTTGATTCAACTATTCGTGCTACCATCGTCATCATTGCATGCTTAAACAATCTTCCTCTTAAGATTATTAATTGCTATTATCAATTATTTATCTCCAGCTCTCATAATCCGTTCATAAATTAGCGATCAAGCAAAAGGACTGTACACAGAAAAAAAAATTTCTTTCGAGCTCAAAAATACAATTTGTGTGTTATTTTGAGCTCAAAGAAATAGCTTTTGTATGCTTTTGAGCTCTTCGAGCTCAAAAGTCTGATAGAAGTTTAATACAACAGTATTTTTTGAATTTTCAAACTGCAATCATTTCTAAATGAATGAATCGATTTTCACGCAGTTGGCAGTATTCCACGCACTTTTTCACAATCTATAATATACTTTTGAAGACAAACTGATCGAACCGAAAATCTTAGAGAAATTTGAAAAATTTACTTTTTTCGACAACGATAACTCACGAACCAATCAACCAATTTTCACGTTCTTGATGGGGATCGACGTGATTTTTTGGGCTCTAATAATTATTCCATTTCGTCAAAAATGATCCAAAAAGAAATCTCAAAATGTTAAAAAAACACTTTTTTCAAAATTTTTCGTTTTCGATAACTCTCGAACGAATCAACCGATTTTGATGGGACTGGGTGGCAATCAAGGTGGTTTTTTAAGCTTAAGAGCTGATTATTTTTTGGAATTGATCGGTAAAGCCGTTTAGAAGTTATTCCAAAAAAACGATTTTTTGAAAATTTTATTTTTGAGATTTTTCAAAATCTAGCAAACCGAATTGATTCAAATTTTGATGAAATTTAATGGCAATGATACTCTTTGGATCGCCACCTATTTCGATTCGATCGGCCGAGCTGTTCAAAAGTTATAAGAGGTTTACATACATACACACACACATCGGCTGCCCAATTTTAAAACACAGTAACTGCAAAATTTTTATTTTATTTTATTTTTTCTTAAAAATATTTATATTCAAGTATTTTCTATTCATAAATCAAATTTTCCATCAATTTGGCGGGTAAACTTTTTTTTAATAAGAAAAAGTATAAAAAATTTTTAAATGTTAGTTACTGTGTTTTGAAATTGGGCAGCCGACATACACCCGGGCACCATCGCGGGAATAGTCAGGAAAGCTTCCTAGGACCTCAAACCGTCGAGATCTGATGGAAACTCGATTTTTGCAAAACGGGGTGGAAACAATAACTTCCCGATTTTTGAAAATTTTCAATTTTCTTAGCGGGAAGTTAAAAATGATTCAATATTATTTGATCTTCCCATTTGACATGTTACAATAAAAATATTAATGAAAATTTACTTCTATCATATCAAGAACTGAATTTTTTGGAACAAGAGGCTGTTCCAATTTTCTCAAAACAAGACGACTTTCTTGACTTAAATAAATTTTCTTGGATCAAGATACGTATTTCTCAAAGCAAGAGAATGAATTTTATTGGAATAAGTGAAATTTCTTATCATAAAAAAAAAATTTATTTTCGCTCAAAAAAATAATTAGAAAGAAAAATATTTTCTTAGCTCAAGTGAACCTCTCTTTCAGTGTAATAATTGCCTAAAAAATCATAATAAAAAAGCTAAACAAAACTCACCTTATTATGAAGATCATTAAGCACTTCTTGATCAACAAGCCCAAGTTCTTCCCAACTCGGCTCTTGGGTTTTGTTCTCCCCTTCGCTGCTGCTGCAAGTTCGACTTTCATTGCCCAAATCAAAATTCTTACCAACTGTCTTACTATCGGAAAACTTTTTAGATTCTTTATTGTTTTCATTTATTTCTTTCTTATCCTCTTTAGCTGTCGCTGGCACTTGGTTAGCCCCAGCCTCTACTTTTTTATCCTCCCGACCCTCCCGAGTTTCGCTATTTTCCGTGTTTAAACTTTCTTCCTTAAACGTCTCATTAGTGGATAATACAACAGAAGCATTTAACTCACCAATAGATACACGATCAGATAAACTTTCCGACTCTAGGGTATTTTTATTTGATTGTGCAAGCTCTGACCCACCACCCGATGAAGACAAAACCGGAGAAACTTGACGACTTCTGCTGTCTTTAATAGGACTCGAGAGTTCCATAAGTATGTAGTTACGTTCTTTACGCGGAAAACTTTCAAAAGTGCTTGGCGACCGTAATTTATCATTTACTTTTTTAAAGTTATCAATTATATTTTTATTTCTTCTCTCATTAAACTCATCCTTATCCTTTTTACTCATTTCTTTGCTCCCGCTATTAATATTTGATCTATTACCATTTAAATTACCGTTTTTACTTTTCAGCTCAAAGGATTTATCGAAATTACCCGAGCCAACTTTAGCCTCCGGGTACTCGATAAAATTAATTTCATTAGTTTTTTCTTCTGACCCCCTGAAGTTATTAAAATCATCTACTTTTCTTCTTCCCACCTTGTTCTTTTTCTTCTTTCGCTTGTCCTTCACTCCCGAGCTCTGTATTTTTTCCGTGTAATCATCAATCGCGTCAAAAATTTCAAACGACCAGCTGCGATCGCTCTCTTTAAACCCAAAAACACTGTCGACATCTTCCAAGTCATAAAAGTACAAATTATCAGCAGACAATTTTGAAGTTTTGCTCAAAATACTCTTCCCAGGGTTCAAAGTTCCGTCGTGAATATAATTTCTTTTAGGACTCGCGGAAAAACTTCGGGATCTTTTGGGAACTTGGCACCGAGAACTGGGACTACAAGGATGCGACACCGACCTCGAGGGTCTGTAGATCGGCATTTTGGTAACTGGAGAAATTGGCAAGGGTATTCTGGAGCTGAGTGGAACCAATTGGGAGTCATCGCTGTCAGGGGTTCTCAATTTGACGATTTCACCGCCGAAATGAACACGCCGAGGTGTTTTGCGTCTCTCTATCCACATTTCCTTCGACTCTTCCTTGATCTTCGAAGCGTCCTCTAGCTTCAGCGGGCCATCTAAACTATCATCGGAGTCCAGGTCTTTTTCCTCGAGAATTGTCATGGTGATAGCTGTCTCCTTGTTAAATTTAATCTCAGTTTCAAGAACAACTCGCGAAGGCGGAAGTATTTCTTCTCTACTTTCCCTCTTTTCTTCTTTCTCTTCCCCGGAATTTTTCTGGACAGGTTTGTCGTGCTTGAGCCGTTTTTTCCGGACTTTTTTCGACCGCTTCGGCAGAGAATGAACATTGTAAACCTGGCTCAAATTTTCAAAATCCTCCTTTGCTCCTGGACAGTCCTCTAGGTAAGACAAAAATTCATCACCAATCGCGTCCCGAATTTTAACTAATGATTTTAGCGCTACTTCCTGGTACTTTATGTCTCCAAGACAACTCGCTAACGCATTTATAACTGTTTTTAGACTCTGTCGGGACGGCTTTATGTTCCGCGATGAAGGAAACACCAAACTGGGAGCGCTTAGGATTACTCCGAGAGTTATGTGAGAGTCGGTGTCGAAATTGTTCCTGTTTATCCCTCGGTCAATTATCTGGAAAATTTTATTGCTCTTTAAATTGTTTTTTTGTAGTTTTTTTAAAAGCAACTTACGTTTTTTACAATGGCGTCTCGAGTGGAACTGTACAGCAAATAAACTCGGAGGGTATCCAGAGCGCCTTTGCGTACTGCCGGGGCAAGATGGCCTAGATTATTGATAAGCTCCCCGACAACTGGTTCCATAATTTCGTCGACACGCTCTTCATCGAGTGTCGGTATTACGTCGACCAGTACTCTAAGTGCATGTTGACGGACCTCCCATTCAGGATCTCGGAGTCTTGATGATATCTCATTGAATACTAAACATGTGTCCACCTCCGGAGGAAATTGCTGCGTCCGTACCTATTATTGATTTGGATATTCAGTATAGGTATATCATTATATGCTGAGATTTGTGATTTATTGTTACTTTAACAAGAGCAAGGTATTTTAGTGTGCTAATGATAATTTAGGTTTACTGTTACCTTAAACTACACATTGATAGGGTAAAAGACCCCATTACTGACACTTTCTTTGATTTTGATTAATGAAATCATTAATTTCAATAATGAATATATTATTTCTAATCTTTAAGACCTTTAGATCAAAAAAATTTTTAATTTTTTTTCCAAGTTGAACATTTTTTCATTGAAAGAAAAAATCCCACTACACAGTAAAAAATTTTGTGTCAATGCGTAAAGACATTTTGTGTTAAAAATTTTTATGTTAAATATTTAACACAAAATTTTTTGACGCAATGACGCAAAATTTTTTTACTCTGTAATAGGAGTTAAAGGTGCCCCTAATTGGGTCTTTTATATACCTTACATATCTTTATTATTTATACACAAAAAAAAATGTTCTTGAATCAAGGATATAATTTTGAAGAACTTAATCTTTTTGATTTAAGTAGAAAAATTTTTGAACTAATAAATCTTTTTTGATTTAAGGAAGTTCACTCGGAACATAGTTTGTGCTATATTTCTTTCCTTTTCACTCGCTAGTGCTGCCTTTCTCACGAGTTATCTTTTATTCACTTTTACTAATGGTTACTTTTGTTTAACTAGCCAGTTTATTTACAATTTACAAAAAACTACATAGTAAAAATTTTCAAAATTTCTTTGGATTATTTTAAGTATATTTTTCTAACAAATATCAGTTTTTTGAAACGATCTTAAAATCCTTTCAATGCAATATTTATTAATATTTGTGATTTTCTCTCTCTTCAACCATACTATCTGTGCTAAAATGTCAGTTTTAATTACAATTATCTCATTTCTGGTATGGTCAATTGATTCAAATTTTAACAGCACATGTAATGCGTATTCTATTATCCATATTTCGAATTTTGAAGGAAATTTTACTTGGTTTAAGAATTTTTTGTTTTGATTAAAAAAAATTACTCTCTTCAAAATTATTTTCTTGGTTCAAGAATTTTTCTCTCGAATCAAGTTAATTTATTTTTCAGTGTAGATTAATAGAATTGATTTAAAAAAAATTATTAAATATTAAAAATAAAAAAATTAAGTTAGCCAACATCTAAAAATTTTTAGAATTTTTTTTTTTTTACAGAAAAAATAATTACAAAAAAATAAAAAAAGTTTTCATTTGTAAAAAACTTGAAAAACAATACGTGAAATTTTTTAAAAATATTTTTTAGTTCTAATTTAATAATTAAAAAAAATATGAAAATGTCGGCTAACTTTAGTTTTATAAAAATATTTATTATTTTTAATAATTTTGGATTTCTTCTTTTATGAAAAATTGATATTTTTGATTTTGGATTTTTTTTTTATTAGGGAAGAAATCAGAAATTAAGAAAAAAATAATGACAATAATTTTATTAAAAATAAATATTAATAATAAAATAAAAAATTATAATAAAATTAATAATTAAAATTTCTACTTGTGAAATTTTTTCATTAAAATTTAATTTTTATAAAAATTTTTTTAATCCATAAAAATAGAATGAAATTTTTCTTCCCTTTTTATATTCAAACAAGAAACATACCACGTGTTCCCAGAGTGGCGTTAATTGGATCAATGGTTCAGTTTGGTGTTGAACAGGTGTCATTTTTCGTTTGATGAATAGTTTCTAAAAAGAAGAAAAAAATAAATAAAAATTTTAGAAGAAAGGGTTCGCTGAATAAAGAAGGAACAAACCTCCGATGAGTGATCAGGAGACACCGGTTCTTCTTGCTGGGCCTGTGGAGGCCCCGTTCTTGATGATCCCGTCATCGAGACAATCTTATACTCCTCACACTCGGACATACCTTATCACTCATCTTCATTTAAATTATCGTCACATTTTCGCTCAATCTTCAATCACTTAAAGAAGAAAACAATCAAGAGCACTTTTTAATTTCAGCAAATTATCAACGAAGTAAACAAAAAAAAACATTAATCATACATGTAATCCAAGCATTAGTATCGACAAGAACAAATTACTAGGTACGTTTATCGAGCGATAATGTATATACGCAAACTTTTACCGGCTTAAGACTTTAAAACTATATTTTCTTTTTTTTTTAACTAGTTGTAAAAACTCGTATTAATAAATTCCGCGTCGATAGTTACCGGTATATCTAACAAGTATTTATCTGGAGTGTAGAGACCTGTGTTTTGTTCGGTTCAAGGTGCTTTTTTATATTTTATACTTCAATTTTTACTTTTCAATTCACTTTTAACATTTGTTTACACGTTAAACTATTTTATTATTTACTTTTTAACCTTTGAAACACTTTTTTATATAAAACTTTGTTTAAGTTTTGTTAAATAAATTTTTTTTATTTCTTCTTTAATAAAAATTCAAATAATTAAAAAAAATTTCAAATTTAAATTTACAATAAAAATTAAATAAATAAAAAAAACTTATATTTTAAATAGTGAAGAAATAAATTTTTTAATTTATATTTTATTGAATAATTTTTATTAAATAGTTAGAATAATTTAAAAATTAAAAATGCAATTAACAACTATTTAAAAATGATTCACAACTTTTAAAGCCAGATAAAATGTTAAGAAATAAAAAAGTTTAATTTAAATAAAAATGATAAATTATTAAATAATATATGATGATAATATAAGCAAAAGTAAGTAATGAGTAATTAGCATAAAAAAAACGTACTTGTTAAAGAAAAATCAAAAATTTAAAAATGCCGGTGTTTTTTTTTAACGAGTAGCAGAAGCAAACTCGAGCACAGCTGGCATGTGACTGCGTGTGGTGGCGTGTGGAAGGGATCAGGGAAATCCCTCTTTCTCTGCTTTCACTCTTTCTAGTATAACCTTACCTCGGTACGGTATACTTGTACTTACTCATATACATACTTAGGCTATTACTTACACTTATGTACACGGTTATATATGCACAAAGTACACATTAAACACGGTATGTATTGTATAGATTATAGCATAGAACATAGTTAACAATATATATATATATATATATATATATATAATATGTATATAAAGCTAAATACAAGTCTGCGCATGAATATCGACCATTCCCCACTCTATTTCTTCAGCATCTGATGGCTATTTGGCAGCGATTTAACGTAGTTTACATACACGATATTACAACATTATCCATTGACCCCATATAATTATTTATTTTTATTTTCAGGTAACACCCATGATCACAACATTTTTTTAGAGCGATTGTTTGAAGTTATTATAGATAAAAGAAGACTATATGACTATCAAAGTTGTTGGGGAATTTTAGAGATTATTTTAGTGACTAAGAGCTTGATTAGTGAAGAAGAAATAATTTTAAAAGAAGAAATAAATTTGTAAGAAATAATTCTAAAACAAAAAGAAGAAATAATTGTAATAGAAGAAACAATTTTAGAAGGAATATTTATAAAAAAAAAAAAATAGAAACAATTGTAAAAGAAGAAATAATTTTTAAAAAATAATTCTAAACAAAGAAATAAATTTTTAAGAAATGATCCTAAAAAAAAGAAATAATCCTTAAAAAAAAAAAAAAAAAAAAAAATAATTGTAAGAGGAGAAACAATTTAAGAAGAAATAGTTTTAAAAGAAAAAATTATTTTTAAAAAATTATTATGAGAAGAAATGAATTTGTAAGAAATAATTCTAAAAAAAAAGAAATAATTCTAACAGAAGAAACAATTTTAGAATATTTCTAAAAAAAAAAAATAGAAACTATTGTAAAAGAAGAAATAATTTTTAAGATATAATTCTAAAAAAAGAAATAAATTTTTAAGAAATGATTCTAAAAAAAAAAGAAATAATTCTAAAAAAATAATTATAAGAGAAGAAACAATTTTAGAAAAAATCTTTCTAAAAAAAAAAAGAAGAAACAATTGTAAAAGAAGAAACAATTAAAGAAAAATAATTTAAAAAAAAGAAATAAATTTTTAAGAAGTGGTTCTAAAAAAAAAAGATGTAATTCTAAAAAAAAAGAAAAAAAATAATTGTATGAGAAGAAACAATTTTAGAAGAAATATTTATAAAAAAAAAAAAAGAAGAAATAATTGTAAAAGAAGAAATGATTTTGAAAATAAAATATTTCTAAAAGAAGAAATAATTCTTAAAGAAAAAAAAAATAAATAAAAAAGAAGAAATAGTTATAATTGACAATAAAACGGTAATTTATCGGCGAAAAATAGTCTTTAAATAGAGAATTGGGAGCAATAACAAATATTAATAATTAATTAGGAATAATAGATAAATAATAATGGTGTCATGTCCTTAGCCTGAAGCGCGATGCAAGACTAGAGCTGTTGATCTTGAGGATTTGTTAAAGGCCATGTCGATCGTGTGTCCTCAAAATAACTTCGGGCTGGTACTTAACTTTAATATTACGAGTACTAACTCCGTCGTTAGTAACATACAATTGGGTCCTTTATTATTCACGAGTGTCGAATGTCTTTCAGCTGTCATGTCTTCGTGTTCTACACACGTAATGTGATAATAGACTTAGTAAGATATTTTAAAATTATTTGCTTAATCTACTTATACATTAACGTAATATAAATATTAGCAATACAAATATTTTTTCTATAAATTTATTTTTTTTTTTTAATTTAAGATCTAAATTATAATTATTTAAAAAATTTTATTAAGATTTAAATATTGTTTTTTATAAATTATAATTTTTAATTTTTAATTTATTATGTAATAAATAGTAATGATCAAAGAAAAAGGAGAAAAGGGGGTAAATAGATTAGGTGGCTGTTGAAACATGTGGGTCAAATTACCACAGTGGTCTAAAAGACCTACTGCTATTTGGACACAATAATATAACAGGAGAACTTTTTACTTCCGGCTGAGGCCAGTGTTCTCACGCAAACATTAATACCCCATACTTCCACCCCATATACTAAGTCTACCACACGACAAATAAAACTGATAACATCAATTAATAATTTTCAATGTAATTATATACTTATTTTTTATATTTCATTAACATAAATTTAAACCAGACTGATAGGGTATCAAACTCTGATTTTATTGTAATAGCACAAATAAATTATTTATGACTAGTACATTATCATTGCTTATGTGTATATATGTACATTTATAAATATTAAGATTTTTTATTGGGCAATATTAATAGCTGTATTCTGAGCTACTTTATTTATTTTAACTATTGGCTATTTATTTTTTGATTTAGACAGATCTTATTTGAACGGATTTTTGCAATAGTGTTTTAATTGTAGTGAGCAAAAAAAATGTATTATGCCACTAGCAATCGGCAGTCACTATGTGACTGCCGAGAATTGCGAACTATAATAAATAAAATTTTGTTTAATTATATAATGGTTTTTGTTAAAATGTACTGTACTTTCTTAACTATTGACATTTATAAAGATATAAGCTCATCTCGATGTTACAATCATCAAGAGCTTTCATTTGAGTACCCACATGCATTTTCATATATTTTTTATATATACATATATATATAACATATGTAAAATATATGAAAAATTGATGTGGGTACTCAAATGAAAGGTCTCGATGAATGTAATGTCAGGGTGAGCTTATCTCCTTAAAAATGTCATTAGTTGACAAGAAACAAGGTCATTTCTTAACTATTGACATTTATAAAAATATAAGCTCATCCCGATGTTACACTCATCAAGAGCTTTCGTTTGAGTACCCACATGCATTTTTGATATATTTTTCATACATACATATATGATATATATAAATATATAAAATATATGAAAAATTGATGTAGGTACTCAAATGAAAAGTCTCGACGAATGTAACCTCGGGATGAGCTTATATCTTTAAAAAATGTTAATATTTTACAATAATACAA